TCTCCTGTGTAGGGTTAAAGTCCAGCTACCAGACACTTCTGGCAACATTCCAGGACTCCCGAGCCCCCAAGGTGGTCTCGATGGCCCGGCATCTCAGGACTGAAATCTTGAGATCCGACATTAGGTGACAATGGCATCAAACAAATGGATTTGCTGCTGCTGCGCCTTCTCTGTTGATTGTGTTAGTCTCAAACACTTTGATAACTTTGAAACACCAAGACATCCAGAGACTCAATATAATTGATATTCTAGAGTTTTATAGTGATTATACTTTCTTTTGATGCCTGAATATTTATCAGTGAAAATTTTAAAGTTTATTTTTAAGAAAAATTAAAAATCTACCTCATCATCAATTTCCTCTCTCCAAATTGAGTGCTGGGAACACAGTCTCCCCATCTTTAGGACTGAGGTGGTAAAGTTTGTATAGCTGGATAAATCTTTTAAATCCAAGCTAGATACCTCTGTCCTGTGAGTAAAATCAATGTGATCTGATGATATCCAGCTTAACACTGAGTGAATTTACAGTGGTGAAAGTGAATTGCAGCAGCCCTGTGGTACCACTGTCAGTAGTGGTGGAAGCTGCAGTGTAGTCAAGGCAATCAGGCTCTTTAACCCTCATGTTTAAACCCTTCTGTGTGTTAAAACTGAGAGTTTTATGGAAGCCATTCCATTTCTTGGAACAGATTTTCTCTGGTTGTGTCCTCCCCTTGATGGTTTGAAAGTGGCTGACAATTGCAGAGCAATTCAAAGGGGGTGATGCTGACACATGTGGGCAGCAAATGCTCCAGAGAACTCCTAGGTATGGCTGGGTCCAGCAATCCAAACAGATCCCATGAGTGTTTGTTTTGAGATTTATTTTAGTCCCAAAAAGGCCAGGTCCTTTTTAGAGCAAAACAATTCAGCAGAGCACTTTGCAATTTAACTTGGGCAAAAGTTGTAAATAAATGTGGACCAGGTTTATTTTGGAGAGCTCTACTGGGTCTGACTAATTCACCCTGCAGACAGTGCAGGAAAATTATTTCAGGTAAAATCACAAAGGGGTACTGCAGGGAGCAATAAAATCATAAAAAAGGGAGCAGCTCTGTGGTGTGAGGTCTTCCTTCACTCAACTGCAAAGATCTAAAATCTTAGTGCCTTACCTTGAGAATAACTCTTGCTTTCTCTCTCATATTTTAGATAAAGGAACAATCAAGCTGAAGGTGAGTATCAATAATTTTAAGATGTTTTGGTGAACATGTAAGGGATTTTCTCTCAGCTGCACCAAGCATTGGTCTCTGGCACAAATAAATGTCACATTGTGGGGCACACAGTGAGGAGGACACTGCCTTCAACAGAGGAAAAATGGAAAGTTAAAACAACAAAGCTCAACCCATCACAGCTCACCTTTACACCACTACAGAAAATCAGTGGCTCCACATAAATTTCTGTGTTTGAGTTATTTTATACAAATGGTAATAGGGAATTCTATGTGGGGTCGTGACTTCAAATGTTGGCAAAATGGAGCTGGACTAGAAGAACAAGCCCTTAAAAGTGTTTGGTTTCTTGACTCATGACTTAATTTGGGCTTGTCATCTTTGGGAGATTAGAGGGATGGTGGAACAGAATATTCAATTATGTGCACCCAGAATGGTATCAGATTTTTTGTCACTTTTAATCTGAAGTAATTTTAAAGTACTTATTTCTCTGAGCAGCTGGTTGAACATGTACATGCATGCACTTTTTGTTTTGGGGACTTTTTGGGTTTTTCCCTCTGTTGGGTTGGTTTCCCCGCGTAACACAGCTCTGTTCTGGGAGCTGCATGTGTGGATCATGCATCCACCATCACTCTGCTTGAGTGATAAAGGGCAGCAGAGAATTTCCTGCCCTGTTTCAGCATGAATTTACCTCCTTTGAGGTTTATATATTGCAGAAAACCTAATATGTCCTTAATTTTCCTTTCACTACCAACACAGATTGACACCAAAACGCAGCAGGTGCCTCTTCTTGCTCACTTTAATGATATTCCCAGAGGTTTTTCTGTGTGTTCCTCACCTCCTGCTGTGGTTTTCAGGTGCCTCCAGGGCTCCGTGGCCAAGCTCACCTGAAGGTTTGGGGCAACAGGCACCTGGCAGGGGAAGGGCACATCTTCCACAACTACACCACGGTCACCATCGACAGCAAGGGCTCCTCCGTGTTCATCCACACCGACAAACCCGTCTACAAACCCAAGCAGAAAGGTAAAATCACCTTGGAGGAGTTGCCAGATGATTTCAAGGAGGGTTTTAGGGTGAGCTCTTTTGTTCAGCCTCAGCTCTGGTGACTGATCAATTCCCTCTTTTCCTTTTTTAGTGTTGATAAATCTCTTCATGGTGACTTCTGACCTGAGGCCAGTCAATGACAGGGTAAAGAAATCTGATTTCTTTCACGCTGTGCAATGTGATGGAATACTTGGCAGCCTGCATTTTATTCAAATATTTAAACATTTGAGAATTATATAAATTATAGTTTCATACTTATTTAATATAACAAATATTTATATTTATTATTATATACAGAGAATATACAATTATATATAATCATCTGTTATATATTTAATATAATATATATTACATGTATTTATATATAGTCCATATAATATATGTATTATATTAATATATAATAATTATATATAATATATATTATATATATTATATACATTATATAATATATATTTTATATTATATATATTATTTATTATATAATATATATTATATATTTTATTTTATACTATTGTAGTATATATATAATAATATATACTACAATAGTAGTATAAAATAATAGCATATATAATAATATATATTCATATTATAAATATATAAGTAATATATTAAATTAATAATATAAATAAAAATGTATAGTATATTAATATAATATCTATTATTTTTACATAATATATAATTTTATTTTATATATTTATTTTAATATATAAATATATATATTAATGTCATTAAAATAATAAAATTTATATATATATTAATATTATATATTAATATATATAATTTATATATTTTATAAAAGGTCCTTTTAGAGCAAAGCACTTCAGCAGGCACGGGCTGCCCAGTGCTGGAAGCTCAGCCTTGGGGCTGCTCACCAATAATTTATGCTGAAACAAAATTGGATTTTTAAGCTGTTTGGGCGTAGCTTGTGACAGCTTATTTTATTTGTAATTTTTATTAGCAATTTATTTGTAAATTGTAATTTTTACAATTTGTAATTTGTAGTTTAAGCTTTTTTCACTTGGTCATGTTCCTGTTGGAGGTGAATACAAACTTTTGGAGTGCTGGCAAATAGGAGGCAGCTCTGCCAGAGCAGAGAGAAGAATTTTTCAGAGACTTTCACCTTATTTAGGTAGTGCAGAGACACGTAAATGGTCACTTTTCCAGATAGATCTCTGAATTAAATGTGTTTTTCTCAGGCTACTCTTAACAAAGATGTTCAAACTCTGTCACTTTGGGTCTCACACTTTGCTTATGTTGACTCAACACTTAATCACGAAAAGCAGAGTTGTTTCATAAAGCCTTTTATTTTGCTTTTTTCTTTCAGATTGAAGCTTATGTTGTGGTGAGTATCAGTGTGCCCTTCTAGCACCTGTCCTGTAGAGGTACAAGGTTTGTGTAGCATTTAAAGGAACAAATTTCTGCTTTTTTTGTCCATTATTGCCATTCCCACCCCTAAACCAATGCAATTCTCTATCCCTGTGTCTCTATCTGATCTCCGTGCCTTTGGTTTTTTGCCATCACCAGCAAATATCCTGGTTTTCTACTTCACTTTTAGAATATCCTGGTTTTCTACTTCACTTTTAGAAATTAATTCTCATTTTTCAGCCTGAGAAGAACTGGCTTGGTTTACTGGGATTTGTAAATGTGNCTCGTTGTCCCTCGTTGTCCCCGGTGTCCGGAGCGCGGGCAGAGCGAACCGGGAGGAGGAGGAGGGAGCTCCCGTGCGATACCTGCCCGCAGCTGCTCCGGGAGCGGAGCTTTTATCTGCCGGCAGTTATTTAAGGAATCCGCCGGCTGCGGTGCTGGGGGTGGTTGAAGGTAGCGCTGGGCGCTCCTGAGCAGCGTGTGAAGATTTTTGGTGTTTTTTTTTTTTAATGGGAAAGATCAGTCGGGAAGAAAGTCAGAAAACTTTCCCCGCACTGTGAGGGACTGAATCCGCAGCTCTTTTCCACTGTGTTTACGTTAATTCTGATTAAGGTTTGCTTTGTTCTTTATCCCTGGGTTATTATAGCCCGACAACATCGTGTATAGCTGCATTAACTGAGTGCCATGGAGAACTTATTCTCACTTGCTAACTAGAAAATATTTCCTGCCAAGTTTTGGTGTAACCTGACAGAGGTGTTAGTTAAAAGTGCTTAAAGGATCTGTCCGGTCCCTGTCAAGTTAACTCTTTGGTTGCCAAATCCAATATTTAATTTTCAAATGCCACTTATTAAGTGATTTAAGTGGTTGTATCAAGGGACTGATACTTCAGAAGGAGTTTCAGCAATTGGGAACAATGTGAGTACATGTGCTTCACATATGGCACTGCAGTGCTGGGCTCTGACAGTTTAAATCTGATCATTTCATCCTGAATGCAGCTGGTACTCTTTCTCCCTCTGCAGCTAGATCAGCTATCTCTCTTACCCAGCATTTCAGGCTCAGTAGTAACTTTTTGTTGTTATTTATTGCCATTCTGATGAATTTTCCAACCTGGCAGCCATAAGGTTTCGAATCTGCGAGTACCCCGTGCAATTTAACTCAAATGCCACAGAGTTCTGAACTTCCTTTGGGGGTAATGGGATCTCCATGGCAATGAGGCCTGCTGAGAGAGGAACATGGGCTTGGAATTTGATAAAAGATTACTTGGGGGCTGTAAAACACCATCATCCTCATCCCAAAGTGATAATTAATCATGAGCTAAAGCAACCTGACTCATGGGACTGCAGAAAGGCATGGGTTGAGAAATTTGGCTTGAAAAGGCATCTGAGGAATTGCCTCTTGTTTTAAAAAAAAATCCTTTTGGGTAGGGGAAAAAACCCCAGAAAGGTGTGTCATGAAGAGAATATAAATGTGTTGCTTCCAGCCCAGTGCATCAAAGGGCTCAGAGCCTGCAATGCTTTTAGCTGACAAGTTCATGGCACGGTGCCATCCAGAGAGGAGTGGTGCAGATTCCATTCACAAACTCTCACATTGCAGCATCGATGGGAGGTCGTTTTGGGTGGCTTTAAAGCCTCCTAAAATAATGCCTTTTGTAGGCTTGCAGGATCTAATTGTTTGAACAAGAATGTGGTGGCAGAGCTGGGAATTCGAGCTCGGTTTTTTTAGCTGCAGTTTCTGGGCTGCTTCTGTAGAAACTGCAAGGTCAGGTGTGTTACATGCCTTGGGCCTGACATTTAGAAAGCTCCAAAAATCTGAGTCCCTTCACTTCTCCTGTGTGAAGCTGAACTATGAAAATGGAGCCATGTGATTGGGTTAAAAATATTAAAATTGTTTAAAAGAAAGCCTTGGTTATGAAGCTCTGAGAAGTTCAGGTACCTCCCTATTCCTTCATGAACTTTAACTCTTTTGGGGTTGTACATTTAGTTTGTTACATATAGTAGATAAATGAATGGGGTTTTATTCATTTATTCACTTGAATATTCATTTATTTGCTTTAATGTGAATTTTTTATTATAGCTTCAATAAACATGGATATATTACTGGTTTTATTGAAATCCTAAGGATATGCAAGCCATTTGTAGCCACTTAGGCTCTGTTTGTTCATCTATACNAAAAGTGACAAACATGAAGGCCTTGAGAACCTTGCATACCAGAGTTCTCAGGCAGCTTTCTCATAACAAGTGGATGTTCTATCTTTGGCTGTTTTGGGAAAGCAAGAATAATTTTGAGAACCCAAATCTTGGTATTGGAAACATAAGGAGGAGTTGGTGTGTAATCTCTGGCCTATTGTGAGCTCAGATTTTGGCAATATGCATGAAGTGAATTAACACTGTTATAAAAGGTGCCTGTTTGATGAATAAATCGGAGTCGATGGCTGACCAACGCAAGGTGGGTCGTCTCCCTCCAACTTCAATACAGTGGCACAAAAAAAAGAAAACAAACCACTGCCAGAGTCAGAGCAGGCCCTGGCCCTGTGTGTCAGGGGGGTGTCCCAGCCCCATCCATGGGGGCTCAGCCCTCCTGCAGTGCCAGCTGTGGCTCTGCTGCAGCAGGGTGGAGTTTTCCTCTGAAGATCCAGTGGAAAAGGCAGCTGCTCCTCTGGGTTTCCAGTGGAAAGGCTGTTCTGGTGTCCCAAACCTCAGATTGTGCCCAGGTAGGAATGCTTGGCTCCTCCCCTGGGCGGAGCATCTCCCCATGGGATGCTGGGATTGGATCAGCCCTGCAGGGACACTCAGTGGCCATGGACAGAAGATAATTAATAATTAATGGCCCATTAATTAAAAAAGAGAAGAGATCTCCTGGAGGGAGGGTTGGCTGTGGGAGAAATAAAGAAAAAACTGCCCCAAGAGCAGCAGAGAACTGCCCCAGCTCTGACAGATGGGAACAGAGCACACACCCCCATTTCCATCCTAATTTATTGACCCTCTGCTGGGTGTCACCCTGATAAATCAGAACCAGCTCCTGTCAGAGCTGTGGGGACTTTTTCTATAAGCTGGGCAATGAGATCTGCTTGGAAAGGTTCTGCTTTATTTCTTTTCCTTGCAGTGTTGCCAAAGTTTGAGCTGCTGATTGATCCCCCGCGCTACATCCGGGACCTTTCCCTGTGTGAGAAAGGAACTGTCCATGCCAGGTAGGAACATTCTCAAATAAAATTTCACTGCTGTGGGTTGGAGTGCGGGCATTGGAGCTTGGATCCCACCTGCTGCACGCTTTCCAGATGATTTCTAATCATCATCAGAAGTTTTTTGATGTAAGAGCCTTCAAAAACATAGTAAAAAATAACAATTTGGAAAACTTCCTGTGGTAATGTTTTCTAGATGTGCAGGTGACATGATAATTGTCTTTATGCAACCACAAGAACAAAAACCAGCTGGAAGTTATTAATCATCTCCTTTGCATTTCAGATACACATTTGGCAAACCAGTGACAGGGAAGTTAATTGTCAATATGACAATAAATGGTGTTGGCTACTACAGACATGAAGTGGGACACCCTGTCCTCAAGACCACCCAGGTGAGGCAGACCATGGACCCACCTGTGACAAAATGCCTGATCTGTCTTCTTTAACACTTATCCCACAGCTCTGTTTTGTTGCTGATGGGAGATCAGAAAAAGGAGTAAATATAACTGAGGCCATTGCTTATTTTTACATTATATATTTATTATTCTTGATATTAGGAAGAAACTCTTTTCCCAGAGGCTGCTGGGTACTGCCCAGGCTGCCCAGGGAATGGTGCCAAGGCTGCCAGAGCTGCAGGAGCTCCCAGGGGTGCCCAGGGTGGGGTTTTGGGGTGGCTCTGCAGGGATGGGGCTGCACTGATCATCCCTGAGGGTCCCTTCCAGCTCAGGATATTCTGGGATTTGGTGGGATGAGAATTTCTTGGCATAGTTTTAATCTGTTTAAAGATTATGGGCCTGAGGAGAGCAGGAGCCTGAGGTGGCAGAGTTAGTCCAGACCATGGCTAAGGGAGGAGAACGGAACACCCTTCCCCTTTCCTTTTCCCCCGTCACGGACATATTTTAGGAAAAATCCTTTCCTTAGGATTTTTTCTCCTGAGAAGCTGAGAAGCCTCAGGAACAAAATGTAAACATTGATTATCTGCTGCTGTGGAATGCAACAGGTGCATCTGGGATTGGTCTCATGTGGTTGTTTTTAACTAATGGCCAATCAAAGTACGCTGTCTCTGACTCTCTGGTCAGTGACAAGATTTTATCATTCCTTTCTATTAATTTTAAGCCTTCTGATGAAATCCTTTCTCCTATTCTTTTAGTATAGTTTTAATATATAATTTTCTTATGATATATATCATAAAATAATAAATCAGCCTTCTGAAACATGGAGTAAAGATTCTCATCTCTTCCCTTGTCCTGGGCCCCCCGTGAACACCGCTACAATTGGTGACCCCGAGTGAGGAACATTCCCACGCCTTTTCCCATTCCCTTTTCTTTTTTTTTTTCCTTTTCCTTTTTTCTCCTTTTCCTTTTTTTTCTCCTTTTCCTTTTTTTTCTCCTTTTCCTTTTTTTTTCTCCTTTTCCTTTTTTTTTCTCCTTTTCCTTTTTTTTTTCTCCTTTTCCTTTTTTTTTTCCTTTTCCTTTTTTTTTCTCCTTTTCCTTTTTTTCTCCTTTTCCTTTTTTTTTCTCCTTTTCCTTTTTTTTTTCTCCTTTTCCTTTTTTTTTTCTCCTTTTCCTTTTTTTTCCTTTTCCTTTTTTTTCCTTTTCCTTTTTTTCCTTTTCCTTTTTTTTCCTTTTCCTTTTTTTCTCCCTTTTCCTTTTTTTTCTCCCTTTTCTTTTTTTTCCTC